GAGGGGTCTGGGGGTACAAAAAACACCGCTTTTAAGGAAGCTAGGCACATCTAAGGAGGGTACAGGAAATTTTCCTAACTTCAGGGGTGATCCAGAACATCAAATTGGAAAGAAAAGAGAAAAATCGAGTGTCAGGATTTTTTTTTTTTTTTTACAACTACCCCTAGAAATCCAAAGTTGGGTCAAATTAACCTGACTATCTCTTCTGGAGGAGTTATTTGGCCGGCACATCCGAGCTTTACATAACCGGTACATAGATCGACAAAATCATTCTAACAACATCATACATTAGACATCCAATTGAAAAAAGGGAAATAATCGAGTGTCAACACAGCTAAAGATAGGAGAAACGTACCTAAACGGACCTTGTTTTATAGTATCTCTCCCTAGTCTGAGTGACACCTCATCGATGGCAGCATAGAACGGATCATTGCGAGTTCACGCATCACGCCATCGCGCCTTCAATTTTGCAGATGCAACTCAGATATCCACCAAGTACGAATAGTTGCATCTCTGTGCCATCATCTACAAGCGTTATTCCTCTAGCATCGTGAATATTCGATATGTGAATTGGATTCCGTCATCGTAATTTTTTATACACATCAATGTTCACCGCTCTTGCTCAGTTGTGACGGTAAAAACAGGGTGAGATGTGTAGGATATATTGAAGCTTCATTTTTAACCACGTCGAAATATTACAGATATGGCGGAACATTTTTTAAACAGCAAACAATTTTCTTCCATGGATTCAATCACTCAATCCTCAATTTAACTGTTCTGTGTCAAACCTTACCATTGTTGCCAATTTACCTATAAAACCGATAATACCAACATAGGATTTTCCAATAATTTGAAGGCTTTTGGAATTCCAAACGATAAGTGATAATCGAAGAAACCTGAAATTTAATTTGAAACGTATCCGTATATTTTATCGTTGCCTGTTCATTACCAACAAACCGGTGCAAATCCGGTATCATCCGAGCTTTAAGCGTATTTTGCGATCCGGGTTGAAAAGGAGAAAAAATTCGGGAGAGAAAATGCATGTGTATTTAATTAATTGGTGGTTTTTGCGTCTAATTATGAAAAGCGGGGCAAAGCCCACGACTCTGAATACCTTTTTTCCCAGAGCAATTTTAATTTCATTACATCAAAGTTTTGGCGCAAAAAAAGAAAAGGAAAGAAAAAACTAAATAAAAAGAAAGAAAAATTAAATCCAGGGTTATTTTACTACGATTTAACTTAGAAATTGTCTCATTGCGTTCTTTCCGCAATAGCATTTAATTTAATTTTTCTTCACCTTGCTGCAGAACTTACTGACATTGAAAATTGTACGTATACATTATCTACGGACCAAAAAGTTAAAATAAACAAAAATATAAAAAATAAAAAATAGGTAAATGACTTAATGAATAAAAGAGGAGAAAATGGGAATAAATCACTTTCAACTTACGTATCACAACTTGAAAAGGGATTCTCTGAAAATCTCAGCTGCTGAGTATTTAATTCGATTCGATAAAAATTGCATCCCAAAAATTTCACCCTGGGAACTGAATTCGATACCTCTTCCCCTGTCAATCGTTATCATAGAGATCTCTCGCGTGGCATATATTTCAGGGGGGGAAAGAGAGGTGGGGGTGGACTGAAAACAAACACTCCCGAGCCACGTCGCGCGTCGGGTGGTTGTAATTAGAAAGTACAAGTATTAAGTGAAGTAATTATTAAATTAATACCTAGTTTTAATCATAAAAATGTCACTTAACCTGCAAGAGCTCTAAGCAGGATAAGAGCGAATCATCGTCAATACTCATCATAAAATGGATAGCGTTTTGCGATTGGGAACCATATCATTTCTTGCTCATTGTCGAAACTCCGTACCATGTGTTAGTCTCTCTGAGCAGTTTTATTTGGTAATTTTACAGTTGAGCCAGCTATAGAAGTTTCTCATCGCAGAATGTACTCTATCATCCTATTGCTTTGTGACATTAAAATTTTGAATGGAAATCAAACTGTTCTTTTACCTCGTTATTGAATCAATCGAGCACCAAATAAACCACACCACACATCACCGAGTTCGTTTCCCTACTGCAACTGCTGCTTATTTGTGGCTAATCTCATTAGACTGGTTTGTTTTTCTATAATGTTATCCTCATAATAAGAGTGATGCTGATCTTCAGCCGGGAATCCCCTTGCTTGTTTGGCTCAATTTGACTCGAACTCGTTATCGTTCTCTTGATCCTCCCCGATTACAGTTGTCAGCTCGCTTGGAATATACATTTTGAAGTAAGTAACCAATATTTCTCGTCCACTCATAAAAATACCCAACTGTATAGGGAAACTGATGGCAGACGTGTTGCTCCAAAAATGGATCAGAGATAGTATATCTACATTTCTAAATAAAATACAAGAAAAATACGCTTAAAAAAGGGGCAAGACAAGGCAAAACGGAAAATAGACACAGCCGGGACGATTCGGGCCAATAACTTACTCATTCTTGACTATAACAAAGACCAAAAGTTGAAAAATTATAACAAGAACATGAGCACACAACTAAACGAAGTAGGAATCAGTGAAGATTCATTTGAGTCTCTTCATTTTTTTAGATCTGCCCCTCAAAAACGCAGAAGTTATTGAACAGTCGTCGCCACTGATTCAGATATACGAATATTCAAATTCTGATTTTAGATCAATCATAGTTTATGTGGGAGTTCTTTTATTATTTTGACAGGTCATGGTATTACTTTAGGATTATTGTTCATTATGACGAGATTTTATATTAAAATTAAAAAATCAGAACTATTAACTCTCATGGAATTAATTATTTTATTTTTACGCAAAACAAATACCTGCAACTTACGTTGTAGTATCAGTGAGCTGTCTCATTCAGGTTGAACCGACTGAGTATCAGGTTTATGTCCGGAGTCAATTGGATGATCACAATTATATAGGTAGTCACTGCCATTATCATCTACAAATCAGCATATATTTTAATGTCAGTATACCATTGTTAAAAAGTATTACTCAAATATCATGCAAGAATACGAATCACTTACTGTACAGTTAACTTTAATCGAAATGCAAAAAAGAAAGGGAAAATTATATTTGTAATTTTAAGAGATTACATTTTGAGAGCTTACTTGTATCGTGTAACGCATTTCCCCGCTTTTTTACACCCTCGTCCCCCATGTAATGTGACATTATACAGCCTCGAAAAGACCCTTAAAAAGACCCTATAAAAAGACCCTTCCTCCTTCAGTCTTTCAAGCAGCGTAAAAGTAAGACACATTACTGTCAAAATTTAGATAGAATCAGCTGCTTTTTGCTTTATGTTTTAATGGAATCATATGAAAAATGAGGTCATGTGAATGAAAGTATAAAGCAATTTATTAAAATTCATAATTTTCATTCGCATTTGAAGGTTGAAAAGGGTTGAAAAGGGTAAATACTTCATAGGGGATTATAGAAGTTACGCAAAACTAATCTTAACCTTCTCGCCCCGAGTAACGTGGCGTGATGCAGACTCAGAGGTGCGTCACTTGGGGGGCTTGGAGCACAAGGCGCATAAGTGCAATTTTTGAAAAATTGAAGTATTAATGACTTTGAGTAAAACTAGTCCTAATGCAAATTCTGTGACAAGCTCGCTCTCAAATTCCAATTTTTAAGCACCAAAAAGTTAGTTTGAACTTTCTTTCCACCTTAAGGATCCGTGTAATTTCGAAACTTCAAACACGTGTCTCTCAAAATGACAAAAACTGCACTTATGCGCCTTGTCGTCCAAGCTCCTCACTTAATACACAAAAGCGTCCCTTTTATGAAAAGATTTGATTCTCATAAATGAGTGCAGTCGACGACAATTTATCATTATGAATTTTTAAATGTCCTTATTATACTTAAGCAAACACTGCTCTTTTAAAAATACGAATTGTAATGTATTCTTAAAATTACAGTATATACGAACAGATGTCAAGAGTTGGCGATCAACGGTAAAAAGCTCTGATGCAGTTATGGTCAGCTTGGCCGTTTGAAGTTGGGTTGTGAAAAGAAGAACCTGAAAATATGATCAAAACAATGAGCAAAATACTAACGATTGAATTTCGATAAGACGTATATCATCATAACAAAGAGACTTGAGTGGCTCGTATTTTAGATCTTAGATGCAAGAAGATAATATATGAATAGAATTAGCCATTTTCTTTTATTCCCATTAATTCGGCTCTTATTAATCATGATGTCAAGAATGATAATCATTCCGAATCAATATTTTTTTATGTTCACATTGAAATATTGAAGAATCTAACTATGTCCCAAGAATATTCAAAAAGTTTCACGTGAAGCAGAACTATTTTGCCTTTTGAAATGTGGTCCGCTTATTCGCTAACTTTAAAATGAGACTCACCTGTTCTTGGCAATGAAGAGTCGGCAGCTTTGTGGTTGGACAGCTTCGCAGTACCTCAATGATTTTACTGCTCTGAAAATTGTTTTAAGAACTCCTGAGTAAATTCAAAACGAACGAAAAAATTAAGGTATAGCGCAAATTTAGAATTTTATGACTTTCTTACAAATTTGATTTAGAATATCAATAAATGAGACTAATCACGGCAACATATTTGAGAAGAGTCCACTGTAATCAAATTTGCAGAAAAACAAAACATATTAAGCATTAACAGACAGAATTATCCTTTAAAAGACATCACATATCCCTAGCTCTACCTAACAATTAATTTAAAATCGAGCACAGTAACCACAGACTTTGCAACTTTCCGTTTAACAAGCGCAGTTGATCAGTGCTTGGTCAGGGTCGGAACGATTGGGTGCTTCGAACTGTTTCTTTAGAAGCAAACCGGGCTTAAAAACGCCTTCACTTTTCAGGGTATACTTCATGAACATCAGCATGCTGCGTCGACCCGTCGCGTCGCGGCACGTCGCGTCGCATCATCACTACGGACCAATCGAGGACCCTTGAGTTACATTTCTGAATGAAGGACAGGTAACTCCAAAACTGAGTTTCTTTTTCATCGAAATTTATAATTCAGGGTGTATTCAATGCGTTTTGATAACCTCATGTAAATACTTTTGTTCAAAAGTGCGTAATCCCATATGCTGCGTTGTTGATAAAGGTCAACTTGAATAAGTCATGGGGCTGATTTTTCTTGCGTCAATCAGTTTTCAAAGTAGTCGAATTCCGGGAATCGTAATTAAGAAATTTCCATAGTTCCAAGTGAAAATTCGATAATAAAAAAATGCACTGAAAAAAATGAGTTAGCGTCAGATGACTAAAAATGGTTTCTATACACTAACTCAAATTGTGTGATTTGGACACACATGATTTTTGGTTTCTGTACACTAACCACTATTAGTGCTGGAAACTAATTCCGCTACTCTAATTCGCATTCGGTAGGGTTGGGTCAACCTAACCTCAAAACTGAGAGAGGAGAAAACGGCTTAGCGAATGATAACTGGACAATACTTTCAGGAAAAGAAGATTTCTTAAAAGATGAGAGGTAAAAATAAACTGACCGGTTCCAAATGAACGACAGAGGAAAGGAATATCCCATAGGTACGTGCAAGTAGACAGAATTATCCTTTAGAGAGACACACACTCACACATGAAACGGTAGCGAATGTTCACACTGAATAAACATATCTCGTCCGAACATTTGAGATATTCTTTTGAAATTACGGGAGAACACGAACTATAGAAGTAAGCAGTAAGTTCACAGGTTTTCGTAAAATATAAACTGAACGCGGAACGCTTTAATCGCAATTTAATACAGAAGATTGACGACTCCAACGAATATCATGCTTGTTTACGTTTTGAATCGAACAGACGATTTCTAACCTTAACAGGTTTATTTATGTTGCTTTCGAACGTTTTCAAGAAAGAGAGGACACTATAAATCATACCGGGAGTATTTACATTGTCAAACGAGCCCGAAATTTCACATTTTAATTGATTTTCACGAGCTGACGCGATTGAGGCTGTTGTACCGACGCAACTTTTTTGAAACTAAAAAAATGTAACGGACAATGTGGCAGTTAGCGTTGAGGGCGAATTAGTTTGACCCGAAGGTGAATTCGTCTTACCACAGCGCTAATTTTACAGCTAGTGCTGTTTTCCAATTCTGGTTCGCGCTCTAGTAAAGTGAAATCAGCGTATGAAGCGAATTGATTGGTGCTTCAGTACAATAAATTAGTTCTGAAGCCTAATTTTGATTCTACTTGGCGAGAACTTACCAAATTAGTTCTCAACGCTAACTACTTTTTTTTCAGTGTGAAAAAAACCAAATTTTAATTCTCAGAAAATATAGATGGAAATTCATTAAAAACGTGCGTTAGCTTTGAAAAAACATCGGCAGTGAAACTGAAAAAAACACGTATTTTGGTTTGCAACGTTTCAGACCTACTTTTATTACTTATTCTTTTGATGGAAAATGTATTTACGTCACATTTTTTTAAAAGAAAACAGTTCGCGATTTTCGCTTTCTCCATGCAGAGAATATGCTATACTAGGGGCCTGAGGCTGTTACGCGGCGTCCGACTACTGAAAAAAACTACATGTAAAAAATCGTAGAACAACGATATTCGATTTTTTTAAGAGATCGATGGATTCAAAAGCCGATGGAGCCACTCGAAAGAAAGCGTATTTCTTTCCGATTCAACGTTATGCACCACTTTCATGTTTTATTTTTAATCGATGTTTTTAAGAAGCTACACACCGTTTTTCTGAAAAGTTTCCGCGAATTTTTCTAAATCATCTCAAATAAAAGAATCGAAAATTTAGACGCGATATTTTCGTCCATTCTATTTTCTTATCATATAATTAAAAACATTTAAATATCATCCGAGTTTCTGAATCGTTACAATGAGGATACATATTTTCCCTTTACCTATGGTAAAAGCCGGAGCAGAGAGTCAAGATGATGACACGTAATCCTAGTTTTGCGGCGATATTAGCGTCGCGCAAGCTAGGGAAGGGAGCGCGGTCGAGTGTCGAGTCATCTTCACAGTTCACAGTGCGCCTTCAATCCAGCCTCAATCGAGCAATATGCATATACCCGAGGTCGAATAGTTATCGCAAATAGTTTTCGCCTCGCATTGCGTTTGGCGCAATGCGAGAAGTATCCATGCGGTCTTGTAGGCGCTAATATGCGCTCACGCCGAACGCACTATTTGGCGCAATGCGTGAAGTATTTCTGTAGTCTTGCAGGCGCCGATATGAGTGTGACGCTGGCCGCACTGTGTGCGATTGACGCGATTATTTGGACTTGCGTTCGGAAAATTGCGGCATCGAATAATGGGGCTTAAAAGGCCCATGATGTGCTTTGAAACCGCATGAGCATTCCAACGTTGCCTCATTTATCCCCACATAATATTTTTTCCGAGAGAAGTTTCAGGAAAGTTCTCTTTGTTCCCTTTTTTAGATTGAATGGACCATTAAACAAGGTACGAATATAAGCACTCTTGTTATATGATTCTCTCAATGGACAGGGGCAAGGGTTTTCAGAGAAAAAATATCGCATTCGAGTGCAGTTTCGATATCAGTATCGAATGCGATATTTTTCCTCTAAAAAAACCACGTCTTCATTAAGCTGAATTTGTATGTCAAAATTGGTATGTCTCCTGACGATAGAATTAGGATCCCAAAATTCGGAAAAAATGACAACTAGCTGAGAAAATAGAACTAATCAATGCGATATATCGCATGTCGTCCTGACACAAAATATGGCGTCCATCGAATCACCTTAAACTGGTTTTTACTCACCGACGCCATGAGAGCCTCGGAGAAACTGGAGTGTAGGAAGGCTCCGACCCAAGTCTGGACGAAGAGGAGGATCCGGATGAGCTTGAATTTCTTGGTAACGTAGAGGCACTTGTAGAAGAGGATGAGCTGCTTGAGGAAGGTGAAGAGGAAGTAGTTGGTGAGGTAGAGGCCGAAACTGGAGCCGAAGAGTTCGGCGAGGCCGGTCA